CCCGGCCCCGGCCCGTGCGCGGCCGCCCGCGAGTCCGAGCGCCAGCTGCGCCTCCGCCTCTGCGTCCTCAACGAGATCCTGGGCACCGAGAGGGACTACGTGGGCACCTTGCGCTTCCTGCAGTCGGTGAGTCGCCGCCGCCGGCCCCGCCACCTGTGGCCCGGCCGCCGCGCCGAGGTCGCCTCGGGCCCGCCGCGCTGCCCTTTTGTCTTTTTCGACCCCTCCGCGCCTTTCACATAGTTTAAAATTAGTTACATCCGCGGGCTGGGGCTCGGGGACCCCGCGCCGCCGCCGGCCAGCGCCGCGTTGGCCGGGGAACAACTTCGCCGCCCGGTGCACCCGCGACTGCTCGGTGGGACAGATGGCCCAAGCCCCGGAGTCCAGCGTCCCCGGCGCCGGTGGAGGGGACGAAACCCCGAGGAAGCTCGGGGATCCACAGAGCCCCAGGGGACGGTCCCGGCACGGCGCGCGATTTTGCGGGAGCTCGGGGAGAGCCGGTTTCTAACCGAGGGCTCCCAGTCGAAGCTCTGAACTGTCCTCCCACCCCCAAGTTTGCAAAACCACACTGTGAAATAGCAGCGGAGCGCTCGCCATGGGCCAGGACCTTACGTGTGTCTTCAGCAGGCTTAACCTTTGCAAGTGGCTCATGAAGTAGGGGCGACTTGTTACCCTCTTTGTAAGATTGGGAGAGTTTAGCTCCAGAGAGGTTGGACAACTTGCCCAGGATCACACAGCTGGTTAAGTTGGGGATGTTGGGCTTCCAGGGCAGTCCCAGCTAGGGCTTTAAACTCCGATTCTAAGCTCCCTTTCTTTTTTCTTCTGGTGGTGGGGGGCGGGGGAGGAAGAGGCCACTTCCCTACCCTCCTAGGAAGTGAGAAAAGTGGCCAGGGGTGGTGGGGGTGGGACGGCAGAGCCTGGATGGAAGTTAGAGACTCCAGGGCTTTAATCTCCAGGCCTCCTGCTGGGTCCTCATTTACTCCCAGTCTGGGCTCTAGGAAGTCTTAATCCTAGTTTAGGGAGGGCTGGTGCCGGGCTGGTGGCAGCTCCCAGTCTCTGGGGTGAAGAGGGACCTTCCAGGGCGGTTGGGGTGCAGTGGAGGCTGTGTGAGAGCACGGTTCTCACTCAGGGATGCTGGAGCGCTGCAGCCCTTCTCCCTGTGAAAGGCCCTTGAGTAGGGGGAGGGGTTTGTGCACAGGTACTGCAAGCCCTTTGGCCAAAGGACCCTTCTAGAAATGACTGTAAGAATAAGGCAGGTTGGCTGTCTTTCCCATCTCTCCCTGTCACAGTTCACACACACACACACACACACACACACTCACGCACGCACACGCACGAGTCTCTTCATTTGAAGCTGGCAGTTTCTGAATTAAAGATGCAGCAGCCTTGGCATTGCTAAGCAATGTCAGATTCTAGGGAACTCCTCACTTCTCCCTCTGAGCCACTCCCTGCTCCTTAGTCTGGAAGAGAAACAGGAAACAAACCAATTTTTATATTAATGGGAAAGAAAATATACTGCTCCCTCCCGCGCCCTTGCTTGATGGTGCCGTTTGTTTCAGACCAGATATAGAGTGTGTTGTGTTGACTGTGGTTTTAGATTGTCCACGTGTGGAGTCCCAGGAAGCTGGAATAATGGAAATTGATTGGAGTCAACATTCTTGATATGAAAGAAACAGGGAAGAAAGGGTCCCTTGCGCACCGTGTCCGGGATGCTCTGAGCACCTCTCGTTTGCCCATCGCAAAGCCTTTTCTGCCTCGTCTTCCCCACCTGTAAACAAGAGGCGGCGAATCTGGTTTTCTTTGCTGCCTGTCCTTTTGTGTGCCCCCAAGCTGGTGCCAGGAGCAGACTGATTGTGTAACCTGAGCAGCCAGACCTCGCTTGGGAGCCAGGGGCCTCTCCTTTGCCCTTTGGGAATGGCCCCTCGGTGGCCTTTCGTCTTGGAACCTGGGGCTTAGCGCTGCAGGGCTCTCCTGGCAGCGGGCTGGTGTCCTGTGGGTTGTGCTCGTCTCCTGCTGCCCTCTGTCCCCTCAGCCTTTACACTTGCTAAGGGATCCCCTGCCTCCTGGCATGGAGGGCTGCGGGGCTGTCCCTGGCTGCTCTCAGATCCACGTGGCAGAGGCAGGCCTTACAGGGCCACCCTGGCCTTCTTGTGTGCCAGGGGCACGAAGCCTGCCCTGAGCGCCGTGGGAGAGGTGGGGAAACTAGGCCTGGGCCCTCGAGGAGCAACATCCAGCCCAGGTGACAGAATCCAAGTCTGCCAGGTGTGGTGGCACACACCTGGAGTCCAGCACCTCGGGAATCTGAGGCAGGAGCATCACGGGTTTGAGCCCAGCTCCAACAACTTAGTGAGATTCTGTCTCAAAATAAAAATAAAAAGGCTGGGGATGTAGCTTGGTGGTAGAGTGCCTCTGGGTCAATCTCCAGGACTGCAAAAAGCAAAACCCACCACCAACAACTAAAGTCCAAGTCCAAGGCCGGACTCCAGAGCCAGGCTGCCCAGGTGGAGTCCTTGGACTTGTGACCTCAGGCAAGCTGGTGTCGTCTTTTTGAGTCTTGTTTTCCTTATCTGTTGGGGGTGGTGATGGGTCCTGAGTGACAGTTTTATGAGAGGATAAGTCAGTATAAAGCCTGGAGCAGGGCCTGCCAGGCCGTAAGACTCTAGTTATTGCTGTTATGTGATGACTGAGCAAATCGCACAGAGGACCCGGGCAGGGTGGTCAGGGAGGGCTACCTGGAGGAAGCTGGTCTGAGGACTTGAAGGAAGACGGGCTTAGAGCCAGTTTCCTTTTGACCTCCTCAGGCCGAAGGACCCAGCGATCTCGTGGCCCCGGGCCTGGGCTCCGCGGTTCCTCTGGAGATTCCCTGCCTCCCCCTCCTTCAGTGCTGGACCTCGCCCTCCCACGGCCCAGGGGTTGCTGTCTTGGGGTTTGAGAGTCAAGGGAGGGCAAGGACAGCCCTCTCACGGAGACGCTGGATCTGGCTTGGGGACACCACAGAGGGAGATGGTGCCGGGGACTTGACTCAGGACCCTGGGTTACGCCGTCTGGAAGCCTGGCCGCGTGGGGCACTCCCTGTGTGCTGGTGGACAGCACCAGGCAGGATGGTGACGGACACTTGCTCCCCACTGGGCCCTGCACCTGTGAGCTTGTTTACTCTTCCCTGTCGACAGATGAGGAAACCAAGGCAGAGAGCTGCCCTGGTCACCTGGAGAGTTGCTGGGGTCCACCCCTGCTGCGGGTCCCAGTGCCCATGTCCCTAGCCGCCCCCCTACCACATCCGGCTTACAGTAAGGGCTGGCCGTGGCCTGAGAGCTGTTAGGGAGGCAGAACAGGGTTGGAACCCAGCCCGTGTGACCTTCACCTTCTCGGGCCCCTTCCTGTCACTTCCCCTCTGTGATGCCTGTGCTGTCTTCCGCAGAGTGGGGACAGCTGTGAAGTGTGTCAGGCCGCCTGTCTCCTCCGCGCCCGGGTCTGTTCGCGGCATGAGTTGTGGGTGGCCCCCCGGAGCCAGGATGCTGCTGTGCGAGCCCTGCCCCCCACACTGACCGCAGGCCACCTGGGCAGATGGCCACTGCGGTGTGCCTCAGTTTCCTGGTCTGTGCCACGGGCGCCCTGCCTCACTGGGTGTCATGCAGCATGGGTGGCCTGAGGTCAGAGACCCCAGGACGCTGCCAGGCACATGGGGTGCTGGGGTGCCCGGTGGCTTTCTTGGGGATGTGCAGCAGTGGGGGCCACATGAGGTCTCTTTGGGGCTCCTGACTCCGGCTTCAGGAGGAGACTGAGTCTGGGCCCTGCCTGTTGGTGGGGTTGCTTTGGAGTCCCTGCCTGTGAGGGGAGGCTCAGGGCCAGGGGCTTGGGGGCCCCACGGTGGGCGTGCCAGCTGGGCAGGGACAGGAAGAGGGCAAGCATGGGCGGGGCCGTCAGCAGCCTCTGAATGGCTCCCCTGGCTGGGGACAGAGACCTGTTGCTCCCAGGCACCCAGAAGGAACTGGCCGGCCTGGCCGCTGTGGGACAGAGACCTGAGCAGGAAGCTCCCAGAACGTCTGGTTCTGCTTTTGGAGGGCGGAGGCCCACGGTCCGGAGCTCTGCTGCCCAAACCAGAAGCTGCAGTGTTGCTTCGTCCCTTTTTTTTTCTTTAAGAAGATTCTGCTCTCCCCGTCTCACCCAGGAGCCCGGCAAGGGCACATCTTTGATTCTAAAGTCACCAAGTCAGAAAGATCACCTAGTGACTGGGGGGATTTTCACGTGGTGGTGCTTGGAACAGGGGTATGAAGTGGGGGACGCAGACCCACTTTGGAAAGGAATCAGTGATCATGATCCTAACTTGTAAGGTTCAAGAGCTTGGAGAGGTCGGAGCGATGTGCATCGCATGGAGAAGGGCCAGGGGGAGGGAAAAAGGAAAAAACGTGCAAAGAAATTTTACTTACTTAAAATTTCTTTGAATTTTTAAATATCCATTTTCTGTAAAATGCATATGTGTACAAATTTATTTAAAAAGAAACGCCAACAGAAAGAAGTGTCACTTTTGGCACAGCTATGAGATGAATACAGCGATGATGACAATAACTTGCTAACACATTTGCAAGCCCTGGGCAAGGCATCTCCTATGGATCAACTCAGAAGTACACATGTTCTTGTGCTTCCCATTTTACAATTGAGACAAAGACACAGAGAGGCCAGGTCACTTTTCCAAGATCACACAGCCTGATGAAGCTGGCTGCATAGCCAACACTTCTCTACTGGTCTGAACTGCTCTGACATGAGTCTGGGCTCAGGAGCAAAATTACTGCCCTTGGGAGACTGTCCGGATGCCCGAGTGGGCAATAATTAAGCCAAGGTCCAAATTATCTCAGTTTTAGGTTGCCAGGGAGCCTGGCCCAGGAAGTCATGAAAATGTTTTGATGATAAAAACCAAGTGCGAGGGCTGGGCCGTGGCTCAGAGGTAGAGCGCTCTCCCAGCACGTGTGAGGCCCTGGGTTCGATCCTCAGCACCACATAGAAATAAATAAATAAAGATTGTGTCCACCGACAACTAAAAACAAATCATAATATAAACCAACCATGTGTGAGTGGGTGAGGGGGGCCCCGTTCTGTGTGCACACGGCAGACAGAGCTGTGGACAGGTCACC